CGATTTTTACTTATAAAAGTACTTTAAAAATTACAATTGACTGTATAAAAAAAAAGATCGTCGCCAATCATATTTAGTCTAATTTTAACCAATCAAAACAAACTTCCACTATGCTAAAATGTTTTAAAATGTTTTTTAATCAAAATTTACCGGCCAAAGTGCAATAATTTATTTTTAAACTCCGGCCAAGTGTCGCGAAAATTTGACTTTAGAATTTGTGTTACCTCAAATTTTCGGGCTTGATCGGAGGTTTAAACTCCGACTAAGTGTCACTTTAAATTTTAATATCAGCTTCGATGTTTTATTAAAAACATATAAAAACGTTTTAAACCGTTTTTTTACCATCCCTAATTCTAACACTTTGTGATGTCAATTAAATGAGCTGTAATTGAAATGATTACCGGTGAAACGATATTGAAACGCACATAGTATCGCAATTCTTAAATATTCGGTTACACATTTTTTTTGGCTGTATCAAAAAAGAACTTATTCTATAAATGAATTTGTAAACGTAATCTGGAATATATATAACTCAGCCGGTACTGTAGATCTAAAATACGATAACTTTGTTCACCATCAGAGTTAATTACGTAGTTGTTAAAAATTTGTAGCACCAGAAAATCCGTGTTAGTCAAATGATGATGTAAGTATGACGATCTCTATGGTCTCAAAATTTAGTTTTACATTATTTTCCTGAAGATTCTAGTGCATCAAAAATCCTTGGCAAAATTCGAAAATCGTGAATTACAAAATTCTTGGCAAATTAAAGTAAATTTTTAAAAAAAATTAATGCAATAATTTCTAATAATAAATTTCAAAACATTGTATTTTAAATTGATGATATCACACGAGTTTAGAAATGGGTCTGACCACAAAATGATCCGAACGATCCGAATTATCCGAATTTTACTAACGCTAATTATTTTAGTTTCAAATAATAAAATTAGGGGATATCCAGTTACGGTTATCCGATAAAACCTATCAAGTATCTGCATAATAATAACTGGCGCATTTGTTTGATAGCTTTAAGATGATTGGCAGTTAAATAATTTATTATTCTGCATAGATAATAGTCATTTATTAAATAACGAATTATTTGGCAGGGAAAATCGTACGTAGTAGACTGCAACTCATAGTCGTGCTTTACAAAGCATCATCGACACAACTATAACGAATAAAGAAGATAAGGATAAAATACTGCTTATTTGAATGGATTAATGATTTCATGACGATCATTATTAAAAGCCTTTATCGGTTATATAAACATATGTGGATAATCATATTCTTTTTTTTTACGTCTTCAAAATAAAAAAAAAGATCAACCAACAATATCTGATCCTCTCTTATTGACGATTGATAAATAGGTATTCCACCCCAAAGCCACTGTATTAACAACCAATAACCTATGATTTAATGGGATAAAATAAAAATTTAATAATTGTACAGTTGGCCATAGTTTATAGTTGTTTATAAGAGTTGGTAAATAAACCTTTTAAGGTAAAAATAAAAAATAAAGGAGAGTTAGTACGTACGCATTAATAATGGTATTATTATTTAAAAAACAATAGTGGTGACGATCAATTGTTCTCACACCAATCGCCTAAATAAAATCTCATAAATTATTAAATTAATCCAGATTTAAAAAACCTTATGCTTAATAATGCTTAATATAGTAATAATTGTTTGATAAACCAAGCCCTTGTCACGTCATATTTTTCTCGTAATATTACACAAACATTGTAAACGCCAAACATTATTATTATTTTTTAAAAAAAATAATAGCTTGAAATGTATAATAATAGGAAAAAAAATTATATTTCTAAAAAAAGTTACCTACTTTTTTAAATTTTTTGATAATTTGTTCTTTACCCTGCCTTTCTAATACACTTTGAACGCTTAAAAATGTTGCAATGAAACTTGGTGCATAGATCGTTTGGTCTAGAGTAACCCTAGTTAATAATGCTATCATATAAAATCAAAATTAATTTGGTTTATTTACCGATGAAAGACGGAAATTTTTATTTAAAAAAAATATAACACAATGATAAATATATATATACCAAGAAAAGGTTTTTTAATAACAATATATTTATCAAGAATTCTATACCATGTTGCACCTGACGGTCCCTATTAATGAATACAATATTTAGTATGTATTGTACGACGTACTATATGAAATTTTTGATATATTAAATTTCAAATTTAATAAAATTTGTACAAAAAAAATTCACATACAGCAATAAAAGCGCCAAAACTGTAGAGCCTCAGTGTCCTTGAAAAATCGTATTCTTTGTACCCCCTTTGTTCTATAAATCCTTGTGCTATAATATCTCCGGTAGTAAATATTATACCTATTTAGAAAACAGATAAACTATAAAAAAATGTTAAAAATATGGTTGGTTAAAAATTTAAGTTAATCTACCAGTTGCAATAGATTGAGTGAGAATTGGTCTACGTAATAAATGATTTTTATACCAAGAAATAAAAACTGACATTTTTTGTTTTCTTTCTATAAAGGCGATACATAATTTTATACATATACTTTTGTAGTACAAATTTTTTTATTATCTTTATATGTATATCGAGAATTCGAGAATATATTCTTGCAGATATATTTAATCAAATTAAGATTAGTCTTTAAAAAAATTCTCTCTCAATAGCGATAGATTAGTTGATCCACTTTGGTCAGACTTAAATAAAGTTTATCACTTAACATTAATCGCAATTTTAAATGAAAATCAACTCTAAAAAACTTTAATTAAGGAATTTTGTGAAAAAATATTGATGATACGTAAGAGGTTCTAAGTATAACAATACGTAATTGGGATTATATTATTTAAAAAGGTCAAAAGTTTATTGAAAGTGTAACGGATATTATGCCTAAATTACATAATTACCAGTACATTATCGGTATACAAATTAACTTATTTTGTATTATCACGTGTGTTGCAAAAAAGTTTAATTTACCTGTATTTCGTATTATCATATTATCACGTACGTACGTACGTTTCAAGTTTGAGTTTACCCGTATTACATATTACTATATCTGATATTATCACGCGTATAATACATATAGTAATACTCGTATTACGTATTCCTTATCACGTGTGTGAAATAAAAGAATAGTTTATTAATAGATATATATCACTTAAATACATACATACATACGTACTGTACAGTACGTACGTACGCACGTACGTATGTCAGTTCGTATGTTTCATAATTACTTCTCTTTCAAGTAAACAAAAAGTTTTAATTGTTGGCGGAGTACGAAATATATAAGTGAGTCGATATCGTGGGACAAAAGAAATTTCCATGTATTTATACGCCACAAATGAGAGAAAAAAAGGAAAGAAAGGAAAAGATTAACAAATTTTTCAAAACATAAATGTTGTACACCTGTAATATTTCGTCAGTTATCACCAACCAGTTAAAATTTTTTATTAAGATTGAATGAACAGCCAAATGCAGGGCGAAAAGAATCCGTTTTGCGTTTTATGTACTCTATAATTTTTCTATAATTCAGTTCAATTAAAAATTTGTGTAACTAAAACAGTTCACGGCGGATACCGATCCAAGTTAATGAACAACCTTAAATATCCAGACTCATGATTTAGTCTTACACTTTATATCATTGTTTTTTTTTTGTCCATACCTATATACCGCTTTGTTTACAATATCAAAAAAAATCATATTAATAAAATAAAAATCATGGGATGCTATATTTCAAAACCTATTTCAAAGCGCAAGTCTTTTAAATCGAAGTCTTTTAAATCGAAGTTTGCTAAACGAATTTTCGTTACACATAATTTTTCAACCGACTCAATATCTGAGAAGAGCGATATTAAAAAAGAATTCGCTGAAATGGATGAAGTTAGTAAACTAAGTAGCAAACCAACTGCTATAAGATATATCGAAGAAATTAGTAAACTAAACAACGAATCGACTACTGCAATACGTACGGATGAAGATTTATTTCCGTTTCCTGAGAAAGATTATGGTGGCGACAGATTAGCTTTACAACACCATCTGTTTAAATATATGTGGCAAAGTAACTTTTCCGCTCCCGTTGACGAAAAATTGAAAACCGGTGCAACGGTCTTGGATTTTGGGTATTTTTTTTTTTTTTACATTTATTTAACATTATAAGAAGAGGTTGGGTTCGAATTTTTTTTTAAAAAAAAAATGAATTATCAAAAAAATTAAAATTCGAATTTTAATATTTAGGGTTTGAATTTTATTGTAATTTCAAATTCTAACTTAAAAATTTTGGAATTCAAACTCGAAATTTTAATATTAGATTTCGAATTCAAATAATTCAAAATTTCAGAAACTTTTTAATTCGATCCTAGCCTCTAATTACATGCTATATATTATGAGTTTATATATTACTGTTCGTCATTAATATATAATTCTTTTTTTTAATAAGATGTGGAACTGTCACTTGGCTCATAGATTTAGCATTACAATATCCAAATTCGAAATTTTTCGGCGTCGACCAACCTTATTTACTCCGTGTTAGTACTCCAACAACTATACCGTCAAATGTTACCGTTCAATATTATGATATTTTATCTGGATTACCATTTGAAGATGAAACTTTTGATTTTGTATATATGCGATTCATGGCCGGTGAAATACCTGAAAAACAAACTGAAAGGATAATAAATGAATTTATGAGAGTTTTGAAAGTTGGTGGTTATTTGGAAATTATGGATATTGATACTGAAGGTAGAAATGAAGGTCCAATAACGCAAGATTTGGTTTCTTCAGGTAATTATTATCATTAAAAAAGATTAATTTCTATTCAAAATTAATTTAATTTAATCTATACTAATTTTTCTTGTTACTATTAATTTAATCAACTTTAGTTATTTCATACTACAAAGCAACTGAAAGAAATCCTTTAATGATATCAAAAATGAAATCATTACTCTATTCAAATCCTCGTCTAACTTCTTTATCATTGGAGGAGCAATACTGTCCAGTTGGTAGTTGGTGTGGTAATATTGGTGAAATCGCTTTAATAAATTGGACATTATTGTTAAATCAATTGAAATATTATCTAATTCCCTTTTTGGGCGTTAGCGATAATGGATACAAAAAGATGATTAATCAATTTGCTGGTGAGGTCGATATATTTCAAACTCATTGGGTTAGTACTAGGATTTATGGGAGAAAATTAATGTAAAAAAAACTTTATGTTTCGGTTTAAAACTTTTTTAAACATTACATTGCTTTGAAGTGGGTCATATTTTCATTATTTAAATTCTGCATCTTTGGTCACAATAATAAAAGTGCCAATTAGTAATAATATTAAGGTTTAATTCATGGACTATAAAAAAAAAACATTAAATTTACGTATCAAATTTTGCATTATATAATTCAAAGTAAAAATAATTATTAAATATTATTAACAATTGTTCAAATTACGTTTTATTACCGATAATAAAAATCAAAAATTAATTTATTCCAAAAACCGGTAACTGGTTACTGGTGAGTTTCTTTCAATCTATCAAATAATTTCTCTTAATTAATCAAACTCTTTCTGTCTGTAACGAACCTTTTATAACGAACGAATCTGAATACAAACGAGCTGCATATTTCTTTTTAAATTTTCATTTATTCAGCATAGTAAGAAAATTTTGTCACTATAAGTTAATTATTCTATCGTAAAATAAGCATCATTCCTTTTACCTCACTTTTTTAAATATCTGATTAGCAGTAATGATTTGGCTAAAAGGCTCATTGCAATTTCCGCTAATCTGACATTTAAAAAATTGGGATAGAGAGAAAGTTGCTTACTTACGATAGAATACGGTATATAAAATTACGTTTCCTTAAGTGTTATTCCAGTTTTTATACTGAATTCATAAAATTTAGAAATATTGTATATAGTTCGTTATACACGGTGTTTGATATAAAAAAGTTTTTTTTTTTTTTTCGGAATCGTCGATTCAGGGTTAATTTATACATTTTTTTAATCACAATGTTCGGCATTTGGTATTACGTATGGATAAATTATAGATCTAGATTAAGCTGTTTTTTTTAAAAAAATCTATAAACTTGATCTTTGACATCTCGATCTCGATTTTTTATATCTCGATCTTAAATCCGTGTAACGAAAGTTAAATTACATAATTATAACACAAAGAACTTGGATTTAGGGTTTTTGATTTGTCAAAAAGTATAAATAAAGAGGTATTCAATAAATGACTATTATAAATTTTTTTTAAAAATGTTTCCCGGTTTTTAGTTTTTATTTTATTTTTTTTTTATTGGTGTTATATTATTTACCTATCCCGGACGATTTTCCGAACCAATTTTCCCGAAAGAACATAATACCGACTAAATCGACCGGCATTATAGCTAAATGCTAACTACCTTAGTTGATATTATGCTCTTTCGGGAATTTAGAAGTATTCACATTTCTATATAATTCGGGTTTATACATTTTAATTTTCTAATTTATCTGTTAACTTTTTTTTTATTTTAATTAACTATCCTCATACTATATACATATTATATCAGACATCGTTCATTGATCATTTTAACCATCAATACCGTCATTGAAACCTTAACCTAATTAGGCCAATTTTTTTATCAGGTGTTACAAGAATAATGATAGCAGCTGTAAACGAATATGGAAACAAATTTTGATCAAAAATTTGCAGGCAAATTTGTCTGCAAATCTGTTAGAGGTAATTTCTCCTAGGCAAAAAGAATAATAACTAAATGATTTAGTATCATTAAGGCTTGGGAACTACTAAATGGCCTTTTTCTCGTTTGATCTAGATACGAAAACAAATTCTAATAAGAAAAAAAAATTGTACTAGCAACAAGGTCAACTGGCCCGAGTTTTTTTAGGATCAACCTCGGCCCATGATTTATTTATCGGTCGTATCATTAGTTATTATTTGATAATTGTCACCATTTTTTTACGAAAAATTTTTTTTAGTAAAATAACCGATATTTAAACCTCCCAAAACTATAATTTTATCATTTAGAATTGGGGACTGATATTTCCACATCCTTATGTAATCACTTTTTTTAAAACTTCGATTCAAGGTATCTCGACAACCGCATAATCAAATTCGATAAAAACCTTTTATTTAAATTCTATAGGTCCATAGAATTCGAATAAAAAAAAGGTTCATCGAATTTGATCAGGTAGTTGTCGAGATACCTTCAATAAAGTTAGATCGTGGCTAATATTTTGATAGACATTAAAACTTTTTTAAAACTTTAATCGAAGGTATCTCGACAATCATCTGTTTAAATTTGATGAAATTGTTTTTTTATTTGAATTCTACACATTCAAAGAATTCGAATAAAAAAAAAGTTCATCGTATTTGATCAGATGGTTGTCAAGATACCTTCGATTAAAAATTTAAAAAAAATTTCAACGTCTATCACGGCAAAATTTTATCTGACTTTGATCGAAGATATCTCGTCAATTACCTGATCAAATTCGATGAACTTTTTTTATTAGAATTCTATGAAACCTTAGAATTCAATTTTATCGGGCGGTTGTAGAGATACTTTGATTAAAGTTTTTAAAAAGGTTTTAACATCTATCAAAATATAGACACGCAAAATTTTATCTAGCTTTGATTGAAGGTATCTTGACAAATACCTGACCAAATTTTATGAAC